CGGCCTCGTGCCCATGACCAAGTCACAGCCATGATATACTGGAGTACAACCGCACTGCTTCTCGTATGTTATTGCTTAAAAATACAAATTTGTTGAACAAGCTAAGCTTGGCTTATGCAGGGGACAAATATTTGAACAAAAATATGAATTGTAATGCCATTTTGTCTCCTTTGGCAGAAAAAAATCACTATAATATTACAAAATGTATTATTAGCTAACTGCCACCATTGACAGACACAATGTAAACCTGTTTTATCTCGGCTCAGGAACTGTAGGGCAGCAACAAAACAGAACAATGTTAGTGTGTTTGGTCAATCAGCTACTGGCACAATATCAGTATGTATGACTGACTCAGATACTACAAGGCAGGTTACCCTGTAACTGACCAAAGCCATAAGAAAGCTACAGTCATTAGACTGTAATGCCCAGTGCTCTTACAGTAACACCAGGCTCACTGCAACCCTGCGCTGGGCAAGTGGAAGGAGAAAGGATGGATGCATTGAAACAGTATGTCATGTGTTCTATATAATATTGTAATAAAGTGAAATTAAACAAACAGAATGTGATTAGATAACATCTAGCAGTGTTTCTTAAAGCCAGCTACTATAGGAATTAAATTAATAATACTGAATTATTTTTTCTTTTAATTGTGAGACGCTCTTATTACAAAGCATGCAGATACCAAAAGAGAATTGAAATTATAACCAGACATGCAGTGACTACTTAGTATATCTTACTCGGAGAGCCTTAGTACATCACCCATTACTGGTAGACTAAACACAATAGGACTATAAAAATTATTTATTTACCAGACAAGTTTAGATTTATTCTATGTAATAGAAGACATTTAATCTTAGCACAAAATAATACAATGATATATAGTTCACCTATTAAGCCTCCATTTCCTGAATCTGTATTTTTTCCAATGTCTTCTNTTATAACCAGACATGCAGTGACTATTTAGTATAATTTACTAGGAGAGCCTTAGTACATAACCCATTACTGGTAGACTAAACACAATAGGACTATAAAAATTATTTATTTATCAGACAAGTTTAGATTTATTCTATGTAATAGAAGACATTTAATCTTAGCACAAAATAATACAATGATATATATATAGTTCACCTATTAAGCCTCCATTTCCTGAATCTGTATTTTTTCCAATGTCTTCTGTGTTTCTTCTCTTCTGAAAGACAGGAAAGTACACCGAGAAGAGAGAACGGTAGACAGAGGGTTTTTGTTATTTAACTCTGGTTTTGTAAATTCAAATTAGGGTTGTCAAGCAATTTTTAAAAGTACAGGCTTAGTGATTAATTAATCCATATACATTTGACGTGAGAAGCATTTTTGAAATATTTCAAGTCAAACTGATTTTGATAGATGAGTGAATCAGTGATAGACATTATAGACTTTGAACTTAATCATCTCTTTAATTACATATTGGTTCCTCACAGCAGCATCATGATGGTCTGACCTAAGTGTTTTGCTAAGTGTTTTGCATTGAGGTGGAATTTCAGGCTTGAACTACTCTGATGATACAAAGGTTCCTTACTGCAGAAATTTGCACAGAATGGTGCTCCAATCAAAAATTCCATCTGGGTGTTTTTTAAATGTAAAATTTCAATTGAATGGGCAAATCAATGTTTTTGTCTTTGCTTCCATATTTACAAAAATTTCAAAATTTTTGACTGAAATTAATGTGCTATTTTGAGAAACCAAATTCAAATGAGGTATTATTTGCCATTTTCACAAGTACACTGGAATCCTTCAGTTCCTGCACATGCCATCTTGCTCTCCTTTAAGACATACATGAATATACAGGTAAGAGCACAGTTTGGGTTCAGGTACAGGGTCAGCTGTTTGTCCTGCACCCCTGGATCAGTTTTTCAGGTTTTACTGACTTGCTTAAGGGCCGATCATGGGATTGGAACCAGCAACCGTATGACCACAGTCACAGA